CAGACAAAGAGTTAATTAACAAAACTAAAGGCCAATCTTCTTAATGAACACAGATGCAAAAATCCTCAACAAGATACTAGCAAATAAAATTAAAAATATATATCATGACCAAATTTGCATCATCCCAGGGATATAAGGATGGTTCAACACATGTAAATAAGCAAACATAATACATCACAAAAACAGAAGAACAAAAATCACACTATCATCTTAATAGACACAGATTAAGCCTTTGACAAAATCCAATATCTAGTCATGATAAAAAAAAACTCTGATGAAAATAAGTATAGAAGGATGCTACCTTAAATGGATAAAAGCCACGTAGGATAACCTACTACCACTATAATGCTAAATGGAGAAAAACTGAAAGTATTTCCACTAAAATCAGGAAAAAGACAAGGGTATGTACTTTTACCACTCCTGTTCAATATGTTCCTTGAAACTTTAGCCAGTACAATAAGGCAAGGGAAAGAAATAAAAGGAGTTTGAATAAAAAGGAAGGAAAGTCAACTTATTCTTACTTGTGTATGACATGATCCTTTACATAGAAGACACAAAAACTCCAGGAAAGACTGTTAGAATTAATGAAGAAATTCAGCAAAATACCAGGATACAAAATCAATACATACTATTTTTCCTAAACACCAGCAATGAATTCACCCTTGAAAGAAATCAAGAAAATAATGCTATTTGTAATCCCTTAAAAATAATGAAATATTTGAAGTTAACCTAACCAAGTAGGTAAAAGACCTCTATCACAAAAACTATAGTACTCTGAACAAGGAATTTGAAGAGGGCAGCAGGCGTAGGAAAGGACTCTATGAACAGAAACCCAACTGGATGAGAAATAATAAAAATCATTGCATGGGATTATACCAAATGCAAAAGCTTCTGCAGAGCAAAGGAAAAAACCCATCAGAGCAACGAAATAACCTACAAAATGAAAATAAATTTTTGCTGGATATTCTTCTGATAAAGGACTAATATCTAGAACACATAAAGAACTCAAAATTTTGGATCCTCATAAATAAAAAATCCAATAAAAAACTAGACAATTGAAATAAATAGACACTTTTCAAAAGAAGCAGTACAAATGGCCAATAGGTATATGAAAAAGTGTTCAGCATCTTTGGCTATTAGAGAATGCAAATAAAAACAAGTGAAATTCCATCTTACTCCAGAAAGAATAGCTATTGTGAATTTTTTAAATGCTGGCAAGATTGTGAGGACAAGGGGACAAGGGAACCTTTCTACATTGTTGGTGGGAATGTAAACTAATACAACCACTATGGAAATTTACACAGATTCCTTGAAAAACTAAAAACGAAAATTGTATTCAACTCAGCTATACCTCTTGTAGGTATTTTCCTAGAAGAGTTAAAAATGTCCTATTACAGTGATACATGTATATCTCTGTTCACAACAACACAACTCATAATGGGTAATCTTATATACCCATCATTAGATGAATATATATATATATATATATCACATTTTCTTTATCCATTCATATATATAAATATGAATATGAATATCCATTCATATATATATATTCATATATATACACATATATAAAAGGGTACTACTCAGCTATAAGAAGGATAAGTTTGAATCAGTTATAGGAAAATGAATGCACTTGAGTCCATAATGCTAGAAGAAATAAATCAGACAAAGTTATACATCCTAAGGTTTTTCTCCTGAGAAACCAAACATATTAAAGATTAAAAGAATAAAAGAAACAAAGAGACAAATGTGGGGATCTGGACATGAAGGCATGGAAGGATAGGTAGAGGAAATAAATTGGATCAAAATGCAGTGTGTGCATGTGCCAATTTCTCATGATAAATATATGTAACATAGTGGTACCTTGGTTTATGAACTTGATTCTTTCCATGAATCTGGTCGCAAATGGAGTTGCATGAGAGCCAAATCAAATTCAATGGTTAGGTTCAATGCTGACCTTATAGGGAAGTTTGATTCAGTTCTTGCACAATTCAGTTTGCAACCAGAATCAAGGGGAGAATTGAGTTCATGAACCAAAGTACCACTGTATATCAAAAACATCTATACCACACAAACATAAACTATTTTAATAAAGAAAAGAGAATCTTTGTTATTAGCCACAACCAACCCTATTCTGCTAGTTATTTCCTTGGATATTTTTGTCAGTTCAAGGATTCTTGGATAATAGGTCAAATGGATCCTGTAACCTCCATAGACAAAGTTTCACAGAAATTCAGGACTCACAAGGTTAGAAAATCACAACTTTTTGAAAATCCCAAACATCCAAGAGGCTGAACTCAGTAGCAAATTCTACAACAAAGATCCACTTTCACATCTGTTATTTATTTGTGCCAACCCCAGGCATGAAGTAGGGCTGAGACGAACCCAACAACTATCTAGGTAGAATGTGTTAAAAGTCCTAAAAATCTATGGCCAACAGGTTGAGTGAGATGCTAGACAAAGAGAGGACATGGCATTAAGCTTATGGTTGAGCAATGTGGACCAATCGAAAAAATGCTATTTTCAATCCTATCATTTTAAGCTGGTGCCATTTGCAGGATCCATCAGAACATGCTATTTTCAAACCTTCATTTGAATGTGTCCACAAGCCATTAAGACACTGTTCCTGATCCTTCATTTGCATCTGTTGGGAAGCCAAGTAGGTCTTTTGATGGGGGAGTTTAACTCCAGCACCAAGCAACATGAGTTTTTGATAGAACACATATCCCAATGCCTTATTTGCATGAAGGGGTAACCAACTAAAGAATTTTGGATATTAAGATCCAGTTTTCCCTTATCCTCGGGGCCACTGTTAGTGAGCCTTTTCACTGGTGCCCTCTAGAGTACACATCCTTTCTGTCTTCAGTAAGTGTACACCTTTGCTACCTTTTCTGTGTGTCTTGTCCAACTCTTTGTTCAAGACACCAAGAACCTGGAAAGAATACTCACGGGACCCTCCACCCCAAAACAGTCAGGCTGAAATCATGGCTGTACTGAAATCCCATATTTCCTCTCCAAGGCTAACTTGCAGCACATATGATTCTACAAACTGCCTTAATAAATGTCACATTCTACTGAAATTTGTATCATCATTTTGAAGTAATGGGACACAAAATTTGATCATCCCAACTTATGTATAATATATACACATATTTCATTAATTTCTTCATTGAAATAAATGTAATATGTGCACATAAAAGTATTGTCAGGAAGAATGCATCCCTCCTAAAAATTGTTACTCTCCTCTGTTTGTGTTCAAATACTTGGTAGGTGCTGGGTTCTGGTAACACAAAACAGGGTAAGGTACAGGAGAAATCCCTCAGCAGGAATTCTGTCTTTTCTCATGAAATGAGAATGCTAGAATGTATTAAAGGAAAGCTTGTATGATATGGGAACACAGAAGAGACATCTACCTGAGTCTGGGGTATCATGAGGGTATGGAGGACATGGAGAATAATGCCTGAGCTGATGGTTAAGTAAAGCAGATAGATGAGGGCAAAAGTATGTTAAGGAACAGCTCTTCAGACAGAACAATAAAATTTTTGTATGTAGAGACTTGTAAGATATTCAGTCTAGCTGGAGTCAATTGAGAAGCAAGTGGTAAAATTCGAGTTAATTTGTAATGGACAAGAAAAACAAAGATAAGAATTAATATTTGGCGAAAACATGCCCTCTAAATCAGTCCTAGGCCACAAAGACTGGTGATGAGACTGGTCAAAGAACATCTTATCTGGGAAAAAGACCTACTAGGCTTCTTTAACAAAACACCTTGGCGTGTAATACTCACCTGTAGTGTTGCCTTGAGAGAAGAATTCTGAAGAGACTTCAGCCATGCCCCTCAGGGACCAGGATGAACTCCTGGTCATAGTTAATGGGATGAAAGGAAATTAATTCCTTTCACCCACCCTCTCCCAATACCGAAAATATCCAAGATTTTCTTTTACAACAATAAAATCATTTTCAACACAGCCTAGTCCTATCACCTAAAATAAAGCAAAGGAGTAGAAAGGAATCACATTGCATTTCATATTTAATCCAAAGCAGGGGTCCATGCCTCCCCTAAACAGCAAGAACTCTAACCAGAGTCCCACTAGACACACGAAACATACAAATCCAGGTCTCAAAAAGTCATCACCCCACACAATCCCACTACTTCCATCTCTAATCAGGTGTCCTGGCTTTCAGCCACAAAGCAATTTTACTTTTGGGGTTATTAACAGGGTTTAAGAGTCACATAAAGAAAATACCCTGTAAGATCTCTTCCACAGAAAAATTTTAATGCCTTCATGCATAATTCAATTAATGACAGCTTTCTCCTCTTCACCCTATAAGCTGGTGGTCTGGAGAGGCTGCCGTCTCAGACAGCTCCACGCTCATGTTTTCTTATGAGCCTCATTGAAGGCTACTGTACTCGTCCTAGGACAGGAAGGGGTCCTATGTACTTTCCTCATATTCAGAGGCTAAGAGGAAAAGCCTGATGTGATAACTAAGAGATTTCAGTAGATTTGCTTCAAAGTTTTCTAGTGCATCTAAGAAAAGATTTAGAAATAATATAGGCACAGAAGTAGGCAGTAGCTAGAAGTTTCTAGGAGCTTAGAAGGTACGGAAAAAGATAAAACCTAAAGCTGTTTTCACCACCCTAAATAAGATGGACACTAAGAAGACCTCATGTTCCTCAGGCTTTGCTAGGACACTTTCTAAAGTTTAGTATCATGTACCCATGACTTTAAAGTCATTTAAAAAAACCAAGCACGTTATCAAAAGAAGATCTTGCACCCAAGTACTAAGTGCTCTGATAATTATCTGTGCTGGAAGATTGGCATCAATTTTATGATCTGAGTAGCTCACAAAAAGAGAGGGAAAATGCAGTAACACTTGAGGCAAGGAAGAGAACATACAGATCGAGAAGAAGCTATTTCAGCTTTAACATTGATATTTATTTCTTTTAAACGCTTTTCCAATTTCTTGGGAAACCAGAGTGAGCTACACTTTCATTCTCACCTACATGTGCAGGACTGTGCAACCATACCTTCATGTTCTTTGTACAAAATACTCCCATTTGCCTCAATAAGAAGAACACTCATGGCATCATACTTATAAGGGACACAGGAAGGCTGAGGGATGCTCTGGTTCACCAGCTCATTAATAAGGTTCTGGATGATGGCGTGATTAGGGGAATTGAGACCATAGTGTAGTACTCGAGGACAAGTTCCTTTACAGTAATTCGGGGTATAGTGGTGGGGAGCAATGATCCAGTGATCCCAGCCCAACTGACGGAAGCTGACTGTGTAAGGATGGAGGGAACACTGGTTATTTTCAGATGCATCCTGTTCCTGAGAGGGGCCAGAAACGTCAGATGCAACACTATCTACTTGCCGAGTCTTCCTCGAGAGAAGAGAAGATTCTCCTTCCATAAACTCCTCCAGGACACTGGGAAGAAGTTCAGCCTTCTGAGCATTTTTATGAGTGTCATTGAGATGAAGTAGCAAGAAGGCAATATGCACGGATGAAGGGTCATGTCCGTGGAACTCAGCAACCTCACTATCGTTTTGAGGCTGACACATAAAACGCAGTCGTAGCATCCTCCGCCCCTTGCGATTCCAGAGCTTCTGCTGAATGTGTTGGGTGAGATCCATCTCTGTCCAGGTTTGAGACATCAGGGACAGCTTTGAGGAACCTCTTACCGAAGAGGGGTTGTTTGGGCTTTTTGGGACCCAGAGCTCCACATAGCAGGAGAGGTTGAAGTGAGCTAGATGGAGTTGATGGCGGTAAACCACAGTGGCTTTCACTAACTGGTAAGCTACCCGGTTGCGTCCTAGAAGAAAGTTCAGAATCCGTGTATACCAGGAACCTTCACAAGAGAGCACAGAGAAGGGGTTAGCTTATCTTTTAGGCTGAATAGCCCTCAAAAAACCGTTCCATATAGACTGACAGATGTACTCAGCCCTAAAATTTAACTCAGGATAATGATAGTATCTCTAATTTCTTGAGTGCTTATTAACATGCATTCTTATTAACATGCTAGATGCTTTATGTTAATAACCTCCTTAATCCTCAGTAGGCTATTTTTTATCCTCATTTTGCCAACAAGAAAACCGAGGCTCACAGAAGCTTACCAGAGACACAGAGCCAAGGGCTGAGAATGTGTCTCAGTGGTAGAGCACTTACTTAGCCTATGTGAAGCCCTGTGCTCAACCCCCAGAAACACAAATCAAAACAGAAAGTACGCACAGTTATTATGTGGTAGAATCAAGATTTGAACCATTGTATTTCCATATCAAGAAATTGTGTTTCACTTTGAGACCACTCACAGGGCTGTGTTCAGCAGGTAAAAACTCAAATATATAATTATATGTCATATCCCATTCATAGAAGTAGATAAATTATATTATTGACTATTACAGACATTGCTATTTAATGACCTACTTGTTTAATGACTGTTCAGCTTTATGACTGTTTGGACTTACAACTCATCCTCTCTTTTGGGGTATAGTTCTGCATATTTTGTTTATAGAGCCTAATGTCTTTTTGTACAGTATACCTTGTTTATGCCATATTGTGATTTTTGCATACAATATAGTACTGTAATTTTATCATCTGTAAGATTTATGCAAAATAAAAGCAAAGCCGTCAAGGTGCAGTTTCCTTTCACTGTTTTTAAAATTGTACATAATATATACAGTTCCTCACTTAGCAAACAATTTGTTTAATGACCTAGTTGCAGAAACTGAACTCAGTCATTAAATGAGGAATGTCTGTATTAGGTAACCAATTAAAAGAGCTGAGACATACATGGATTAAGAAAATCATCATGTCCTATCACTATACAGATGAAGCTTTGGGGTAACAATGGGGTGCTATGCCTGACATCTGTCAAATCTAGGACCAAGACACCAATTATATCCCCCATTAGTGGGGACAGCTGTTCTCGCCACTTCTACCTTCTACCAGCTTCAAGAATTACTTCTTGCATATCATTGCCTCCTGGCCATCTCTCTCCTTTATTCTTCAATTTCTCTCTTTTCTATTCCTTGCTGGAAATGGTTCTCAGTTTACCCCCTTCATTTCACTACCACTTCTCTAAATACTATTTTAACAAAGCCTTTCCACTGTTATTTTGTTTGCAGAGAAGCCTGACAAAACTTGCATATCCACTAGTGATTAAGAGCTTTAGTCTAATCTCTAGTGCTGACACCCAGTGTCCAAGGCTCTGACCTTTTACTCCCTTTCCTGGCAAAGGTAAAGAACAAAAACTACCAAGCCAGCTACTGTCAGGAAAAACCTTCTTTCATCTTCATATGTCTTAGTAAGTACTTCCACATTAATTTATGTATTATTCACCTAAACCTCTTTCTCCACTGAATCTATAGGCCTGGAATTTTTCATTAGTACAGGGATCTTCAACACAGAAGTTTTTATATATTGATATTCCAACTTATGCCCTCATGTTTGGGACACCTACAATAAATTATATGAGGTCCAAGCCAGGCTTCTACTTGCCTTCTTAAGTTATTTCACAATCCAATCTTACAAGAATTTTTCCAAGGACCAAGCCATACACCTGTTCCACTCTGCCTGGAAAGCAACTCAGCCTAAAACTCCAGCACACCTTCTGGTGAGGAAGTGTCCTTTCAGACCCTGATATCATGTTTCCAGAAGCCGGGTGGGGTTGCTAAGGATCAGAGTGAGAAGGGTCCACTTAGAACTTTTCAGGTAAAGGGATTATACCTAACAACCTGTCATCTTCTTTTGGATCCTTTCCAGAGTCCCTAGATGTTAGTATGTTTCAAAGTCACCCAAGAATATTTGCCTAATTCTAGGCATCTTCTGTACAAACTTGATTTTCCCAGCTGTCTGCTGCACTTAGAAATGGAATCCAGATCCCTTGAGCCTAATGGTCCCTGCCTCTCATAACCTCATTATGTTTCTATTCTCCATGACATTTACTTAGCTTCTACCACAGATACTTACAAGCTTGTTTCACAGGGGTGGTGAACCTATAACACGTGTGCCGCAAGCTAGCTGTTTGGTATCACTGAGAGCTCTAAAATGTGCACCAACCCTACTCTAGAGCTTTGCACATATTCCTCTCAAGGAAATGAACTTGCTCTCTACCTTCTCATGCCTAGCTTCTCACTTTATGGGCCAGCTCAAATGTCACCTTTTCCAAAGTACTTACACTGATAACTCCATGGAAAGAGATGATAGCACTATTATATACCACAACAATCTCATTTCATTATTTGATAGTACTTGCCATAATTTGCAATGATTTAACTATATTTGCTTCTTTATCTCCTCTATAAGAACATAGTCTCTATGACAGTAAGGGTTTCACCTGTCTCAGTCATATCTATTTGCCTAAAACTCTTTTAGGTGCCGAGTAAATATTTATTGAATCAATCTTCATCCACACCAAGCTATTTTCTTTCCTAAGTCAGAATGTACTTATCTGCCTGTATGCATATTCTCCTTACTCCTTATCCAAGTTCCAGTTCAAACGTTGCCTCCTAAATGAGTCCCTTTGATATTCACTCTGCTTCCCTTTTCTTGCTCCACACAGTGAACTATTTCATCTTTGATCTCCTGGAAGCCTTGTTGCTTACCTTCTTCAGATCACTCTTCATACCGTAACATCACTATGTGATTGTCTATCCATTGTTTTACACTAGGAGCTTCTAGATGTCAGGAAAGTAGTTATTTTCCTCTATGTACCCAATCCAAACACAGGGCCTACTGCTCAATTAAAATCTGTTGGGGATTCAGTAGAGCATGACAATTAAAGGCACAGTCTCCGGAGCCTGACAGCATAGGTTTGACACCTGGCTCTATCAATTACTAGCCAGGTAACATTGATAAAGTTATTCTGAGCCTTGGGTTCTTCCCCTATAAAATAGTTACATTAATCCTACGTACCATATCTGGTATTCACAAGGTATTTGAGGAGATAATGTTTGAAAAATGTGTTGTAAAATTCTTGGGACACCATAAGCTCACAGTAAGGGATAGCTATGTAAATTTTGGTTGTTTTTTGAAGTGTGTGTATGGGGGGCGGTTGTCTGTCTATGGTCATCTGAGATTAGAGGAAGCCCCAGATTAACCTCATAAAGATCTCAAGAGTTTCTTTAAGTTGGTGGCTGTCTACATTCTGTAGAGAGCCCTAAACTTCAGGAGTTGCTATCTTAGAACAGTTTAATGCAGATTTTCAAAACGAAATCAGGCACTAACTGAAACAAGGACAATTCCAAAACATATTTAGGGCCAATATTCCAAAGTAGTACCACAGCCTAAATAGGAAAATTGCTTGATAGACAAGGATATTGGAATATTCTATTTAAAAGTTGAAAAGTTATGGACAGATTTTAGAATTAGTCCTAAGCTCAAACACTATCTCTGTACTCACTGTCTATCTGTTTGCAAGTTGTTTAATCTTTCCATTCCTTAATTTTCCAGTCTCTAAAATCAAGCTAATTATCCTATAACAAATGGTAGCCTGCTGTCATAAGGATTAAGTACAATAATATGTTCACACAATTAGCTATATAGACCCTAAAATATTAACTTGTTTCTGTCCTTTCTGAGGCCTTGTATATTTTCCCTAAATCAACCTCCTATACTATTTGTCTTCTAATAGCAAAAAAACAACGAACAGCCCTGCCCAAGAGTGTAGCTGGGTATTTCTCAAGTACAATTTTTAGAGCTATTACAAGCAATAAGATTTCTATGAAAGACAGGGGTGGACATATTCTTTATTTTCCCTGGGGATTGAAAAAATTCCCTACTAAGCCCAATACCACCTGTTGTTTTGTTAAATTGGGGCCCTACAAAGGAGGTAGGCTTCATACCAGCATTTCGCAAGCTTGCAATCCTTTGAAAACCATGCCTGAGGAAGCAATCCACCCACAAACAGTAAAGGCTGACTTTAAACCACAGATTCCTTATCCTCTGAGGACTTTTCCACTTCCCTCCCCGCCAAAGCAGTATGGACATATAAGAACTCACCTCTAAGAGGCCTTGCTATATTGGCTGAAGGCATCAACAGCCTCACCATCCTGGCCCCAATTGTACGGTTTTCCCTCGGGTGCCCATCTGAGTCAGCTGAACGCTGGTACAACTCCAGCATGTACTGCAGTGGAGGCCCTTCGAGGTGTGGCTTTCTCTGTTCCTTTCCAGGGGCTTCTTCTAGCAGCTTCTCAACAAGGCGCATGGTAGAGGTTTCAGCAGGTGGCAAGGTAGGGCTCTCAGGCAGGAAGGTCGTAGAGGGCTGCCCCACCTCTGCCATTTGGACTCTATCTTCCAAATAAAGCATCAGTCCAAAAAGAAGAAAGAGTCTAAGAGTACTGAGGACAATCATCTTGAAAGGCTTGGTATTCAGCAACAGCTTCCAACCTAAGCTCAAAGTATACCACTGTGATCCCTTTCTTTCATGCAAGTAACCACGACTTAGCTCCACAACCACCGAGGATGGACCAAGGGGGGAAAAAAGAAGGGCAGGCAAATAGGTCCTATTTTGCCTTCTACTCGAGGATATCCAGAGCCAAAGCAGGTCTCCTTACTTGGCCTGTTGGCACAAAACAAACAGAAAGGGCAGGTAAACAAGCAAGCATGCCTTCCCCACTCCCCAGGGCTGGGAACAAGATAGTACTTCTTCAGCAGACTGAGATAACACAAAAGAGGTCCATTCCAGAACTTGCTCACTTACCTTATCCTGGAGGGTAAAATAAATACTCCTGGCCTGCTAGTCACCACAGTTTTAAACACATGCCCTTAATCAGGCTTTAAAGGGCCAGAAGCCTCCTGTTGCTGTCCTAATTCCATGCCTCTAATGCAGCATTTCCCAAAATATAGTCTGCTGCTGATTTGTAGTGCAACTAGCTGGGATGATTGTTAATAATGCAAATTCTGGACTCAAATACACACTCTCTGGGGGTATCAAGTGTTCCAGAAATTTCCTATGAATGCCAAAATGTAGAAGTCAGATTTCAGTGATTGTGGCTGCCGGAGCCCGAAGAAGATGGCTTACCCAGTGGTTGTCAATCGTGGCTGTATGTTGGAATCACCTGAGGAGCCTCCATCATTTTGAATTCCTGGCTATCACCTCCTCCACCAGGAATTGTGATACAATGCTTCTGGAATGTGAAAGGACCAGGGTTTCTTTTAGTGTGTAGCTAAATTTAAAATTTGCAACTTGCAATTGTTTGGGTTTTCCATGGCAAGTGTTCAATGAGCTTTATTGGAGAAACCTGAGTAAGCTGCAGATGAATCTGTGAGAACTCACCTAGCCCAGCTGGTTAATGGGAGACAGCAGGGATGAGCCAGGTGGTTAAGGATGCCTCTGGGCCAGGATTCTGAAGGAAGATAGTAGATGTAGAATAGGCCTTTCCAAGGACATTGGGGTTCTGTAAAGAAGTTGGGGCAGGAAGTCAAGACCTGTATCTTAGTTACTTTTCTCTCATAGCTGAGACAAAATACTCAACAGCCAAAGTTAAAGGAAGAAAGCTTTATTTGGCTCATGGCTTGTAAATGTTTTAACCCATAATCGGCTGGCTCCAAGGCAAGGTAGCACATGGCAGGGGGGCAATAGTTCATGACAGCAGAAGACAGCAAAAGCAAGAAAGGGACCTTAATGGTGTCTTTCTGCTCCTTTGATCTTACCCAGACTACCAGGATTAGGGTGATGCCAAACCAATCAGTGGACTGATTTAGTGATTACTAAATTTTTTGCGATTACACTCCAAGGGTCACACACTCTAGATTCAGTACATCTGAAAAAGCCCTATGATCATATGAGGTTTTGGGGGAACATCTATACACAAACCATAGGAACCTGGTTATAAGAGATGATGAGTCAGGCCTGATTTGTAGGAAACCTTTACTTCATAACCGCAATGTTTATGGTCAGGCATCGTTATTGTGGAATAGCCACAGGCTTTAGTTAGGAAGTTGCTGGTTTTTGTTTATGAGAAATCTTATTTTTCTTACATAAATTCATGGGGAATAGGGCCCAGAAGTTCAGGATCCTTTCCCTTGGAAGTGCACTTCTCTGGACAGAGCAGGCTAATAACAGAGTTGAGCCCAGGTTCCTCTGACTTTTGCTTTCTTCATTTCACAATCATTTTTCTTCATGCCTTTCAGGAAGCTATGTTGGCTCTCATAGAGCTTGATGTGCTCAGTACCCACATCAGATCTGCCACTGCGAACCTTGTCCTTAACTTGCTTGTTTGCAATGATAACAGCATGGTGTATTACACGTAGATTCTTCCAGTTCTCCCATGGTAACACTGATGGAGCCTTCCTATCTTGACAGTACTCATTCTCTTGATGTCTACAATAACAGCCTGCTTATCGAATTACACGTACATGGCCAAAGGAAAAACTTCATGTTTCCTAAAAGGCCTAGAGATCATATGCCAGATGCTGCTCCTCTCCCTTTGTATTTTTCATTTTGCTGAATTATTGGATGAAGTCAAATTCAGCCACAAAGAAACCAGGCAATCTTTGTAATCAGACAGCTCTATTATATGAATTATGAGTCTCTTTCCTATTAGCTGTACTTCAACCTGTCTAAGGAAAATTTTGTCATTTCTTTGAGCCTCAGTCTCCTCAGCCATAAAACAGAAATGACACATTTTACCTCACAGGTTGTTGGGAGAACACAAGTAACTAATCTATGTTAACTATACAAAGCCTCATTAGATACAAGGCATATGGTCTAAATTGTACAAATAGGCATGTGGAATATAGTTACATGTTTGAAATCATCTGTTCCTTTTCTCTGTTTTTTTCTTACATAACCATAGGTTCTAACATGCATTGTAAAACAAAAGATGTTGGGAGAGGGTGTAGCTCAGTGGCATTCCACCTGCCTTGCAAGGTCCTGAGTTCAAGCCCCCTGGTACAAAAAAAATGTGGGCTAAGGAGTTTTCTAGATCTCTGCTCAAATACTGATAATCTCTAGATCTCCACTCAAAACTATTAGCTAAGGAAACTTCAATAAGCCTTAATTTCTTCATCTGTATGGCTGGCTTCCCCAGAGAGTTGCTGTGAGCATTGTATTAGATCCAATTGTATTATCTACAATAACAGACAAGCAAGGGATATACACAGATGGCTCACAGTAGGTAAATCCTGAATAACCAACAAATATTAAAATAAGTAACGAAAACCAGGAAAATGAAACGTAATACCACATAAGCTATGATTTCACATCCACTGGATGGACAGCATAATAAATCTGACATTATTAAGTTCAAGTGATGACAGGAAATGATGTTATCAAAGGGTTCATTTCGTTTTGAGCATGGTTTCTCTTGATGTCTCCGTGATACTGGAAGGGGCTTGTATCTCTCAAGAACATTTCTCTGCCATGTCTTTTAGAGTTGTATTCTGATATAGAATCAAAGAAAATAGAAAGAGATAACACATTACATAAGAGAGAGCATGATTCTGGTTTTCATTCCTGGTTCTGCCATTTGGGAGGTGTTGCTTAACCTTGTGTATCTCTTTTTTCTTAGCTATAAATTGGGAAAATACTTTCCAAGATTATTATATAAGCACCTAGATAATCTTCAATAAATGGAAAATTGTTTATGTTTAATAGCTTATATTTTAAAGTATTTGTAAAATATACTTGACTGAAAGAGATAACTGCTCAGCACCTTCAAAAGTTCATCAAAATTTTTATTTCATCACTCTGCCCACCTAGGCTCCTGGCTGAATAGGTCAACATTCTTGTTTTCAGAAATTGACATAAAACTTAGAAACAGCCCATTTGCCCATCTGTTGGAAACTGGATAAAGAAGATGTGGTTTTTCTATAAAATGGAATATTACTCAGCCATAAAGAATGAGAAATTAGATTTATTCATAGGAAAATGGATACATATTGAGGATATCCTCCTAAGTGAAATAAATAAGTCACACATGTGTAAATACTGAATAATTTCTCTGGTGTGAATAAACCATAATAGTATATAAGATCCTAATGAGATAACTGACATTGTGAAATGGGAAGAAAGGGGCTAAAGGTGTAGGGAAAGTGGGAAGGGTAGGGGAAAGCTAGTAAGGGAAAAGAAAAAAATATGAGAAAATTTAAAAATGTAAATGAAGTGTTTGTAAAGTAGGAGGGGAGGAGGGGGTGAAGGGAGGGCAGGGACAAAGGGATAAAATGAGAACCAAGACCTGTCATCTAAAGGTACTAGATCCCAATAATGAATGTAACTGTACTGTGTACCTAAAATGTACCAATAAACTCAATGAGGAAAAAAAAAGAAAGAAATTGACATAAAAACCAACCCTTTTCTTATCACCAAAGTGAGAAAGTTGACATGATTATTTTCTGGAAATTCCTTCGGGTTGGCCCCAAGCATTCTACTTCTCCAAAGCCCTAGAAGAGGGCACCATCTATCTTTCTAGACTTGTAGTTAGGGGTAGGGGTGAATGGTTTGTTTGTAGGGGAGTGGAACAGGATATGTTATAAAGATATTTGCCAGTTCTTCCTGCTTTAGAAAAGGCAAGTAATGTTAAGTAACTAAGCATATAAATCTGACAATTTAGGTGATTATTAGTATGACACAAAGAATCTGAACACACAAAAAATGGGTCATCCCAAGAGTCTGTGAGCAGTAGGCACTCCTAATGTAGTATGGGTTAAATTTCAAACTACAGTGCGCTGGGTACACTGATAAAAATGCATAAAATTTACAAAGGATATATTTGTTCCCAATTTGAGGAACATGGCCACTTTATATAGTACATGTGTGTACTAGAATCTTTCATTTACGAGGTTATAATTTACATTGTCTTGCAACAATATTCATCCAACATGTATCCAATAGGTACCACCTATGTCATTGTAGGTGTTAAGGATGCAGGCCCCTAAGCACACTACTTGGGTTCAAACCGCTGCTCTAACACTTAACTGGTTTAGTGATATTGGGCAATTGACCTAATCTCTGTCCCCCAGCTTCATCTAATAACATGTGAATTAGTAGCACTACATATTTTAGAGGGCTGTGGTGACAATGCAAGCTTATTGGATGCAAGCACAGTACTTTACAAAAACCAAGTCTGGAGGGCATATGATTAGATAACTGACTTCTTTTGTATTGGATAAAGGAAAGATGGCTTTTTTATTAAAATCCTAAAGATTGGGTACATAATAAGTCTCATTCCATTTTCTATTATATGTCTGTTTCCCAGGCAACAGGCATGGTTAAACAACAATAGAGCCTGTGTCAGAAAAGTTCACTACAGAAAAGTCATTTTGGCTACTACTTGGGATAGAGGAAAAGAAAGTTAATAATGTTTTATAAAGACCTAGGAATTTGAATGAGTCCAAACAGGAAGAAATTATTAATGTTTAAGGATATGGAAATGTAAATTACCCTGGTTTGATTACTACACATTGTACACATGAATCAAATCACCCTGTACTCCATAAATATGTACAATTATTGTCAA